TCACTTCATTCAGGAAAGAAAAAAATTGTATATTCACATATATAAGAAAGCCATAATACAGGGAACATGAATATATATTTATTCAGACATGAAAACTTTATTAGCGGCTTGTCCTGCGACAAGTCTAACCCTCGCCTCAATAACTCCTTATATAAAACTCTATCCCTTAACTTAAACCTGTCAACACTATCCATCTCAGCTTGGAATCGAGCCATCGAACATGTCTCCCTTACATCAGTCAGGTCCATCCATAGGTTCACAGTCTCCATTCGAATGGTCGCAGTTTCGATTTGATGGTCCATTGCTTCCACTCGGAGGTCGGAAGTTCAACCGACAGCTTCTCAGAGAGGGCATCCTGGTGCACCTTTAGTTTCTATATGTTAGCCTCTCGCTGGGCTTCAACTTCCTTCCAAGCCTCAACTTCACAGGCAAAGAAATCCGTCGTCTAGTCCATACGACGAACCATGGAGCCAGTCGACTCCCTTTCACTGACAGTTGAAGTGTCCCCCACGACCTTCCGAGACGTTGGGGCTTGGCCCTCGAAAGTTTTCAGCTAGTCAGAAACACCAATCAGGTCTTCTTCATAAAAAAAAGAGGCAAAGTTATGCAAGGCACGAAATCTCCCTAAGCCAATAAGTGGATCAAACAACCGAACTCCTCATACCAAGGAGTCAGTCAAGTTCAGACTAGAGCAAGTACGAGAAACTCTCACCAGGCATAAGTGGAGTGTCCACAACTCTCATCCCTCCGATCTGAGAAGGACAAACTGTGTTCTTGTCCCCAAGCGGCAGACCCCTAGATGTTCTTCAGATGTCTTTTTTTTCCCGACCATCAGGCTTGGTCAATGATCTAATGGGGAAAACGGTAGAACCCTTGTTTGAGTTCCGACACAATTGGGGAACATTTTCCATTTGTTCCCATCATCATCATCACCACACTCATCCAGTGACCCCCTCTTGAAAGCAAATTGCTTCACTTGCCTCTTCCTGGCAGGCATACTGCTCTTTGGATGCTTTGTCTTATCTCCGAAGAAGTCTCCCTTAGGCTAACGACTTTTTGCAGAAATACTTAAGGGACAAATCTTCTCAGTTGGTAGTCCGAAAACCTTCATCAGAATATCATTAGACAGCTCGCCAACACGAACCTTCTTGCTGCTTGCCATGAGAGTACCTTCAACAAGAACGACCAAAGCTCTTGACAGGAAGAGAGTGTGGATATGAAGGTCATTAGTAACAACCTATTTATAGGATGCCAATGCACGGAAATCCATGGAGTTTAATTATTAAGAATACTATTTACGAAATAAACACATTTAATGTAACATTTAATTCTCTTGTTTTTATTGGTAGATGTTATTGATTCGATATACATTAAGAAAGACAAGTAGACCTAGAAAGAATTGGGCATATTGTATAAAAATGATGTTAATTTATTAGAATTAAATGAAAATATGACAGTCAATATGACGTAATGGAGAAAAAAGATTCATGTAGCCGACCCTACTTAATGGGATAAAGGCTTGTTGTTGTTGTATCGCTTTTAAAAACCAAGAAAATTGGGGAACTAAATATGTATGATAGGATTATAACAACACGAATCTTAGAGAGAAATGATACACGACAAGATAAGAGGGACTCACAGTCAAAGCATGTAGAGATCCAATCACACAATATTTTACTTTATTGGAGCAAAAATCAATGTTGAGTCAATAAACGATGTCTCAAAGCTATGACGAGTCGCTCCCTTTGGTATGCGAGCCGACCGACATAATAGGCCCAATGAAGGAACAATTCTCTGCTAGATGAGTGAAGGAGGCTGTTCGAAGACTAAGGTTAAGCTACAGATGAGTGATTCTCACGTTGTTTGGCTCACCATCACTGAACAAATGGATGTGTACTAACGGCTAAGAGCCATCATGATCGACTAATTAATCTATTATTAAATATATTTATAGATTTAAATTGTAAAAGATCTTAATACCCTTAGGCCTCTTTTTAGAGAGAATGGTCTTAGATATAACCGTGTATTCTAAATATCTCTATAACTATAAATAGGGGATCATTTTATGAATAAAGGATTATATGCTCTCATTCTATAGTTCTCTTCCTCTTTGTTTCCCGCTATCCTCTTTTCATATGCTCTATACCTTGGGCGTGACTTTCTGGACATGTTAGGATTCAATAATTACTAATCTGATGCTCGCATTCTACAGTTCTCTTCCTCTTTGTTTCCCGCTATCCTCTTTTCATACGCTCTATACCTTGGGCGTGACTTTCTGGACATGTTAGGATTCAACAATTACTAATCTGATCTGGTGCATATTTAGATAATGATATAATATTTATCTCATCCCAAGTCACCATTTTTGATACTTAGGTCATAATTACAAAATTTTATTGCATTGCTTACCTTATACAAGGAAGGATAAATCAATTTCTAAAACTTTACTCAAACTCATTTCAAATAATCAACTCTTTAAGTTTTCCTTTGAACTTCTTTAGATGCTGGCCTCTCCATCACCGTTTTGTCTCTCTTAGATACAAGACTAGAGATACTCATCTCTCATTAGGATATTTTATTCTATTCGAAGTCTTCTCTATTCCAACTATCAAGATCTCTGCAGCTTTATCATTTTTTCTTCCCTTGAAATTAGCTGGCTATCTTTAAGTACTAGTCAATTTTCATGTTAACACTGTTACTTGCATTAGTAATAGGTGTTACATGTGTTATTGGTCGAGTTACTGTTACTATAGGCTCTACAAATTACTGTATCTTTTCATCATCTGCATCTTAATCATATTTAACAATCTATACAACTAAAATTTATCATATAACATAATTTTTAGCGCACATCAATCTAAAATTTAACAGAAATCAATTGAGCAAAAATATTTCAAAATATTTTTTATGGTATTCTTCAAAGTTTATTTACAGAGCATTAAATTTTTATTACATATATGCTTAAAGTGCTTACAATTTTTTTATCAAAATGATACATCAAAACATAGAATAATATTTTCAAAACTCTATCCTCATTTATGAACAGCAGTATCTTTCCTTCTACTTGAAATAATAACCAGAGTAAAATCTGATGTGTTTAAAAGCTTAGCTTTATAAATAACTCTATTATAAAATTCAAGTTTTCAAGATTAAGGCAATATGATATGCTAATCATAAACTGAACATAAGAATAAAATAATATATTTACAAATCTAGTGCATTACCTATAATCGTAATTGGCTTTTCCTGAATAATAACTAATAGAATAATAAATGAAATACTTTTACTAAATAATACTTTAAAAGAGATAATTAATATTTAATTATAATATGCAATATGTTAGTCAAGTTTATAGGTATTAACATAAGAGACTATACCTTTTATAGTATTCATTTACTTCTTAAACCTATTATTAACATAAAATATTATATTTTATCTTGGAAATATATTTTGCATGTATGCCTTAGTTTATTGGTCATTATAATATAGTGATTGTATCGGTTTCACACAACATGTCATAAAATTGGAAGCTCAGCCCAAATGCTATATATATTGAGTATCCTTTTGCATACATAAGAACTTGCCTTTGCCTTAACTGTATAGATTATCTGGCACATTATTGTCAACCTATCTCACTTAATTGGTGTTTCTTAAGCTCATTTCACTTTCAATGATGAATATTTAAATAAAGATACCATTCTTTTTAAACAGACAAATCATTTTGATTTGTAAATAAGTAATTCACAAGTATTCAGTCCTGATTTTAAAAGATATTTTTATAATAAAATATTGCATAATTTTAATAAATCAATTGTATGCCTTTCATAATTTAAAATGATGTGCAACAGTTTAATCATGAATGCTAGGATAGAAACATGCATTATATAATATGAAAACCCTTCTAATAGATATTAGCTTATGTACAAGTGTAACTTATACATTTCATACAAAACATTAAAACAAAATCTTCTTTCTGAATTAGAAAATTTTAACCAGATGACGATTGGCTCATGATCGTGCTCTTTTGTAAACAGTCTATGAGATACAAAATTTTTAATGTACTAAAATTTGTAACTTATAATTAAATTGTAAAGCAAAACTTATAAAACTCAAAGTCTATTACTTTGATTCGAAGATGTCTAGATATGGAAATAGAAGAATGCCATATTTATACCTCAAACTTCTCAACTTATTTTTTTCTTCCCTTCTTCCCCTTTCGTTCCTCTGCAACTCTCAGTTTGCTCTTTTGTTGAAGTTTTATGGGTATGGAATGAGAAAATGGGGACAGGAATTAAAGCTTAGCTTGGAACTTTGTAATATATAGCTATGTAAGTATCATATTATCATAAAATTATTGTCCATCGTCATTAAATACATCAGTTTTTGCATGCTAAGTGAAGTGGAAAAGTCCACAATTCTTTTTGCAGCTACGGAACAATGGTTCATAGTAAAAACATTCAAAATTTAGGAAAAAAATATTTAATTATTGAGTAGATTATTATACCTATTAATTGCAATTAACGATATACATTTATATTTTAAAATGATCTTCGCAAAATATAGTTTCTTTTAAAACCACTATAATCATTTTTTAAGGTTTTGAAAAATGGGATTTAAGAATTTTGGATCTTTTGACATCTGGCATTGCAAACTTTTTAGCATTACACATACGTTGTAGTAGGATTTAAGTGAGTTTGACTGTTTGCCATTTTTTTAGAAGCCTTCTTGAGTCTCTGCAAAGTTGAATCTTAGGCTATGCAGACCTGCTCTCTATAATGGCAATATTGGATTGAGGTATTTTGATTCCTGCATTAATATCTTGTTCCTTTTGTTTTAAGCTGGTCATTGTTGCTCAACCTTTTTTTTATTGTAACAATCCAATAAATTTTGGTTGGCTTTTGTAGTTTTATTCTGAGATGTAACATTTTTGTTTTTGTTTTTTTTTTTAATTTCCTCCATGTTTGCTAATTGTATACTCTTTTCCATTGTACTTTGCTAAGTATCTAGCGAGATTCCAATATCTGCGTGGGTGGTTGGAAGGACAGGGAGGTTATGCTTGGGTGTGAAGTACGACCCCCCAAGTAAGTTTAGTAACTTGATCATTTGAGTGAAATGCTTACATGTTTGAATCCAACGGCTTAAAGTGAAATATATTGTTATTTTGTTTCATGTACTTGGGCAAAAAAAATGTCATTTATTCAAGCTGCTCTGGAAACATTAATTGTGACTTTAAGGTCTTCCATGAGAAACCAAGCCTCATCTAATACTCGTCTAATGTTTTCTATAGTGACTAGTCTACCAAGAAAGGCTAAGCAAGCTATTAAATTATTAAGTTTAAATAATATCACGTGAAAGCTTGAAAAATGAAAAAGATCATTCATACCATCATCTATCTTTTCTTATGCGTGTCATTACTTGCTAGATGGAAGTAGGCGTCCTATGAATTTTATGGACTTAAAAAGCTGGAGTTATGCTATTGGATATGGATTGGGCTCAAACAGTCCTTTGAGTCCTTCATTTAATTTCTCCCTTGAGCTTGTCAAACAATCGCAGGTTTGCTTTTGATATTTGTCAATGTTATTCAGTCACATAACTTTGTACAGTGTAGTCATTTCAATTTTGTTACTTCAGCTATTTCCTTTTGGGCTCTCCTGAAGATGTTGTTTCAATGGTTGGTGCCTTGCGGGGATAGTTGCATGTTGGTTTATAGGATATATTGAGATCAGAAGGGAACGGAAGATTTGTTAGTTAAAATAATGAATAATGGAAACATATTAGAAGGCAAGATTAAGAAGCACAGGAAAATTAGACAAGCTAACCATTAGATCATATGGGAGGGTTTTATAATCACATTTTTGTGGTCTGTGATCTGAATCAGTTTCATCTTCTACATATGTAGTTGAATTCTGAAGAATCAGGCTTGTTTATTATTCATGATAATCTTAAACTACTCTATTTCCTTGTCGATGTACAATTTTTTAGGATATAGGATTTCTAATGTAGACCTAACATGTAATGTAAACTTTTTGGTAATAAATTGATGCAACAATCAAATAATCTATTCAGGAAAGCTTTTTTTTATTCTCATCTATATATGTATATGTTTTGTTAGTAATGCTCTAATAAAATAGTATTACTAAAACGGTTGGGCATATCCGATTGATTTGTTTTAGAAAATTCAATTATTTGGACATTGGACATCTTGTACCTCTCGAAAAGTACCTAACTTATTTGTCCAATTTGAAAATGCTTCAAGATTGTACTTTCAATAGCTATAGGAATATTTTTGTTAACGCGATAATTACTTGTGCTGAAAGCATCTTGTTTTTCAATGACCTTGATATTTTAATATATTTTAATCTTCTTCTAGAGGACATGAAAAGCACATTTCAGTTGGTCATTAATTAGAATTATTTATTGCATTCTAAAGTTTAAGTTTCTTGACAGAGATTTGGCATTTAAGGTTGATTTAGATGCAATCAATTAATGATCTTGGGAAAGCATGCTATTAACATCAAAATCACTACTATTTTTCTTTAAGTTGAAAATAATGGAACTTCAAATCAAGCAAGGATTGTCCTTTTAGTGTAAATTAATGAAAAGAAGTTAAAGATGTTGAAAGACTATTTTTTAATCTTTTTTTTTTTACCTATAAAAAAATTATATTGCAGCAGTTCTTACAAAAATCGAACGCACTTTCAACCAATTAAGGCAACACAAAAAAAAAAAAAAAAAAAAAAAAAAAGAGAGGAAGAGGAAGAAGGTATTGAGGAAATTGATCCAAAAGAACAAAATAACTGATTGCAAGCCTCATCATGTTTGAGAAGGAGATTGCCATTCCCAAAAATATTTCAAGTTTTACGCTATCAATAAGTATAATTTTAGAATAGAAGAGTGGTTTGAGAATTAAAAATTAAGATTTTATTAATATCAAAGAATAATTTTTTATATGCCTTAGAACACATATATATGCCTCATGGGATAGGCGTTTATCAGGAGTCTAGATAAATATGAAGACTTGTGGAATAGCCCGCTATAATAGTTGTCTTAATTCTCCAAAACTGCTGCCAGCAATTGGAGAAAATACACCGGAAATAGCAATATTAGAATTAGATGTAAGGGGCCACAAGGAGATGCTGCAGGAACGGGAACCTCATTCATCAAATAAACTGGAAAACGCAAGAGGTCGAATGAATTGCAGCCACTTTTGGAATGAAGAGAAATTTCCACCTTAGCCTAGGAAAATCTAACAAACTGAATCCAACTGCTGAAGTGCTGTTTATCATTGCTATTTTTTTGAAATACAAGTATGTACTCTTAACTGGTTGCTTTCTACTCAAAATTCTTCAGTAAAATTCAAAAAAATTAAATTTGTAAATTCAAATTGATCAGTGAAACACAAATATATTGCATCTTCAAAGACTCTAGACTTTAGAGTTTGCCATCACTTATTGCACAATGTTTGAGGAGACCATAAAAAATCTCAGAAGTTTTAAACAAAAGTTCTCAGCCCTCCCTTTATCCTGTGTTATGATCATAGTGATCAAATGAAATGTATGGTCTCGTATTTGGCTTTTGGATATTTTAATTTTATGGAAATTCATACTTAACTAATGCAATTTTTTTTTTTTTTTTTTTGGTTGCAGTTAATCACATCATTCTATCAGCATCTTGTAGTACAAAGAAGGGTGAGGTCTTCTTTTTTGCGTTTTTTTTTGAAAGATTAAAAATGAAATCAGTTGGTTTTCTTTTCACATCTTACTATTGCCTTTTGAAAGTATTTTTTACTATATGAATGTTGCCATTTTTCTGACGGACAATTGGATTTGCAGGCATTCCCATGCCTTTTCTTTTAAACTAAATTTAGTGTTGTTTATTATTTTTATTATCAAAATAGATAATGCAGAAGACCGTACAAGTGATCTTTCTCTAAATTTTATCCAGCTTCAATTGGAAGCATGTATGCGCAAAGTTTTTATATTTATCTATTTCTTATAATCGCATGCAGGGGTAGTAAATAGTAGGTTAGTCCTGCTTTCTTAAGGGTGATTCTCATTTACGGCCTTGAGATTTAGTTGAATATCAAATAGCTGGAAAAATTATAAATACCTCCCTCAAGTTAACTTTTTCATCCATATACTTTTAAAACAAAAGTGTTTTGATCGTTACCTTTTAAAAAAATATCTAAGCATAACTTAAGTAAGGAGGATTCTGAATTGGCTTATGTATTTGTTGCAGATTGAGTTCTATAATGCTTATTGGTCTAAAATTCATATTGATTTACTTCTTTTGACGATGCATATGCTGAGCTCTTTTGCATCCGGCTATTTATTATGTTTTCTATTTCTTCTAAAAAAACCAAAATGAGTAATAGTGACATTTTGATTTATATCATGCCAAATGTATGACATCTATATATTTGAATGAATGGATTTTTTTTTTATTTTTTAGTTTATTTTACTCCTTTCTTATTTAATACTTCAATTTTCGTGTCCGAAACCCGGATGCGAAAAGTGGAGAAGGATACATTAGGTAGTCGATAGTATAAAAATCGTGACATGAATCATTTCAATTATTGTGTAAATGCTAGGGTCTCCCATAAAAGCGACGCATTGTATGACTTGAATATAGTAAAAAATGTGTATGGGCTGCTACATTATGAACGGATGGAGGTTAAAAAATTATTCTATAGAACTAATATTAGGATAGTAACTTAGAATATATGTACTCTCATAGATAAATTAATGAGATTATTAGATATTATAGTTCATAGGAATATAAATATCTTATGCATTTAAGAATCTAAATGGGTTGGAGAAAATACTAAGGAGATTGATAGCTTTGGTTTTAAATTTTTGTATTTAGGTGGGAGTTAGGGGTGTAAACGAGTCGAACATAAGCGAGCTCAAAACTTGTTCGTGTTCAACTAGTTTGAATTTGTTTTGTCTGAAATGAGCTCGTGTTCGAAATAGCTCATAAAATGTCAAGTTCTTGTTCGACTCAATTTATATTTGAATTTGATCGAATTAGCTCATGTTCGACTCAATTTTGAGTCACACCATAACATGCATAATATATTTGTTTCAACTCATTTGACTCGGATATAATTTTAATTTTAAAATATTAATTTCATCTACACTTTATAATGAGTGCAAATAAAACCTAATTTTTTTGTTTTTGTTTTAAAATTCAAATAGGACTGCTAATGAGATATCCGCTGTGTGGGCGGTGTGGGACTAAATAGTTTGACATGACGGACAGACATATCTTCTAGGGAACTCTAAAGCCATTTACCTATGTACCACCCAATTCTATGTATATATATATGAACAAAAATAAGGCAATCAAATTTTTGGGCCTTTACATACATATAAGAGCAGAAACAATAATGAAGCAGCGGAATTTTTTTGGGAAAAAGGGCTTTTAGATACATTTTGCCCAACTCTTATATGTTTACATATGTAACAAATAGTTTTTAAAATTTTTACCCTAAAGCTTTAAATCAATCAATTTGATATAAAATACTGTATGTAAATTATGAATGTATTGAATGATATAAAAATCAAAAGTTGTTACTTTAATTAAATTTAATTAATTGTTAATTAATCCTCCATAATCTCCTCACTGTAGCCAATCGACCTAACCCATGCATTATAATCGTCGAATTGGGTAATCCTCTATTCAGAGGCCTCGGAAGGTTTAGCCCACACGAGAGATCTCTCTCGATTCCTTCCCTTCTCGCCAGCTTCTGTGTGACCTTGCATTGTAGCAGAGTGGCGGTCGGGAGCAGGTGGCCTACATAGTGCCGCAATTGGTAGTTTAGGTTTCTGGGGTGATTGTGGTTTTCACGCTATTTGAGACTTTCATTTCCTTTCTTTTGCTTCCATTTTTTGATTTGCCATTAATCGTGCATCTTTTTGTTTCCAGTAGCCATCAGAGGCACTGAACTTGTGTCTGAAGTGTCGAAAGTGGTTTGTGAGTTTTTATAGGGGCTTTGGTACAAAATCTGGCAAGGGGAAAGGAAGATTGAGAAGTTAGGAAGAAAATAAAAAATATTTTGCAGTTTTGGTAAGATGGACTTGTGTCGAGAAGCTTATTTGAGATAAGAAAGTTATTTTTTTTTTCGGTTAAATTACCTTATAAGTCAATATATCCTGAATTCCTAAGTTATTTAAGATTTTGTGTTATTTATTTGAGACAGCGAGTTCGAGACAAGCGTGCTAAAGCTAGTCGTAGGATGACTTCGTGAATTCATGTAAATTAACCCTAAACTGAGAAAAATAATTTAATGAACATAAATTTATTAAATCTTAATGTTTAATATTATGTTTTATTGGTTATTAAGATCAATGTAAAGGTTATCACAATATTTAGCGTGAAAACGGACGTAAGTAATTATATTTCTAAAATTCAGTGATATTCTTTATTTTAAAATGTTTGTAAAGAGTGCAGAGTAAGAGTAAAGATAAAGTAAATGCATATAGAAAAATTGACTATTTTTATTTAGAAAAGGTCATTGACACATGTATAAGCATATTATCAAATTTCTTATAAAAATATGAAAGAGTAATATATTTTAAGATTTCTTCCGAAGATGTGAAAGACCATAATACATATTGATTTTTTTTCATTGGGTTACTATAATTTAAGAGTGTGATTACACCTGGGTTATCTTCAGATAACACATTATTTTGCTTCAATATTAATTTTTTGAACAAGTTGAACATAAGAGAATCAAATGTGTATAGTAGGCGAGAACAATTGATGAAAAGTACATATTTCTACTTGTTAATTTAATTGTTTTCTTTAGTGGATTTTTTATGTATATTTGAATATTAATCTCTTAGTGATAGAAATAGAATAACAGAGAACTGATTTTCACTGCCCGATCGTTTGTTCTCTTCTTGGTTAATTCCAAGTCACCGATCGGTCGTGACAAAAGATATAATGCAGGGTTTGTCTAAATCAGAGTATTTTTGTGACATTTTCTTACATTCCACCTAAATTTTATTTATTTATATATCTAACATCTAAATTTATATAACTTGTAATTATACTACTAAAATAAATTTTAAAAATAATAAAATTTAGTATTTTTAAATACAAAAAAATTTAATACAAGAAAGATTTAAATAAATTTAATTATTTAATTATTTATTTCGAGTCAAAACGAGCTGAACACAACGAACAAATCTTTTATTCATGCTTGATTTGTTTATAGGTCAAGCTCAAAAAAGAAGTTATTCTTCAACTTTCTTGCTTAACAAACGAATAACACAAGCTATTTAATGAGCAAAACACAAGCTGTTCTCAATTGAGTTTTTTTGACAGCTTTATAAGTATTACTATACATGGTGTAGGTGTAATTATAGATTAGAGTTTAAAAGATAATATTTTAAAATTTTTAGAATTAGAGATAGAATTATAGCCTTAAACATTATTATTAATACTGTGATTCTTAATTTATATGTGCTTATGCTCCTCAAGTAGGTTTAAATTTATGTTTAAAAAAAATATTAGAATGACCTAGAAGAATTAATACAAAAGATATCACTTGAAAAAAGAATTATTATTGAATAAGATGTAAATGAACATGTTGGTAGAGTGGTACGAGCTTTTAGAAATATTCATGTTGGCTACGATTTTGGAGTGATTAATGAAGAAACTAGAGTTTATTTTGAATTTTATTTTAGCTTGTGATTTTTTTATTTCTAATATATTATTTTAGAAAAGAGATGAACATATTATCACTTATAAAAAATAGATATAATAAAACATAAATTAATTATTTTCTTATGAGGAAAATCGATCATCGTTATTATAAAGATTGTAAAGTCATTCTAAATGAAAATTTAAGTACTTAATATTGATTATTAGTTATGTATTTTATGATGAAGAGTTATAAGATAAAATATACAATGAAATATTATCATAGAATTAGATGTGACATTTAAAAAATCAAATAAAATTATTTTTATGAGCAAACTTTTAGAACTGAAGATTTGGAATGTTCATAAAAAACTAATGCTATGCGAGATAAAATAACCCACTATTTAACAAGTTGTAGAAAATATATTTGGAGAATCAAAAGGATGAACTTTTATAAATAAAAATAATTGGTAGTGAAATAATGCGCAATAAAAGATAAAATATAAGAAATTTTGTTATAAAATTTTACTTAAATGTAAAAGCTTAGAATATTAGGAAAAATATAAGGTGACCCGTAAAAAATCTAAATGATCAATTTGTGATGCTAGAAATTTTACTATTATGTATGTATATACACACACACACACTAGCCAAACAAAGAGATAAGAAAAATAAAGAGTTAATTCAAATAATGTGTATTACGGATGAAAATCAAACAATATTTTTCTTATACGAGTATATTCAACATTAGTGGGTGAGATATTTTGACAAATATTCTCATTTTGAAAATACGATTGATTTTAGTGATTTTAATATCATTAATAATAATAATAATAATAATAATAATAATAATAATAATTTTTATTTTTATCATTGCATTAGTAAAATGGAAGTTGATGGGACTTTATAGAAAATGAGAGGTGAAAAATTAGTAGACCTGATAATATCCCAATAGAAGTGTAAAAATGTTTAGGAGATTTGATAATGTCTTACCTTATTAAACTTTTTAATATTATTTCAAAAATAAAGAAGATGTCAGAGGAGTGGAGGAAGAGCCTTTTGGTCCATGTTTTTAAGAATAAAGGTGATGCAAAAGAGTATGCTAATTATAAATGAATTAATTTAATGTGTCATACATTATTATGACAAAGTAATTGAGCATTTGTTAAAACATGATACGAAGATTTCTCAAAAACAGTTTGGATTTATGGCTGGCAAGTCTACTATGGAAGTTATACAATAATTGAGAGGTTTGATTGAGAAGTACATAGAGAGTAAGAAGAATATACTTGATTTTTGTTGATGTAGAAAAAGTTTATCATAAGATTTCAAGATAAATTCGTTGGAGAGTTCTAACAAAGTGGTAATATGACTTTTATTGAAGTTCTTAAAGATATGTATACTAGAGCTATTACTTGTGTTCGAACAGAAGAAGGATTGATGAAGTATTTTCTTATTTCAGTTGGATTACATCAGGAATCGACTTTTAAGTCCATATTTTTCTTGCTTTAGTTATGAATGTTCTTAGTAGACATTTACAGGAGGATGTACCTTGGTGTATGCTTTTCGCTGATATCCTTCTTGTGGATAAGACTATAGAAAAAGTTAAGAAAAAACTTGAATTATGGAGCTTAACTTTAGAGTCTAAAGGCTTTCATTTGAGTAGATCTAAAACTAATTAAATGGAATGTAAATTTAGTAGTAGATCTAATGACAAGTTTATAACAACAAGGTTGATCAGATCTTTAGGAGTGAATGTTTTAAATTTCTTGGGTCTATTGTTCAAAGTGAGGATGATATAGATGGGATGTTATAAGTAGAATTCAATTTGAATGGTTGAATTAGAGGAATGCATCGGGCCTATTGTGTGATAGAAAAGTACCACTTAGACTTAAAAAAAGTTTTTTATAAGATGTTGGTGATACTTGCAATGCTTTATGGCACAGATTGTTGGCCTGTAAAATAGAAGCATAAAACTAAAGTATTGTTGAGATGAGAATGCGTTGGTGTATGAGTGACTTTACACATAGAGACAAAATGAGAAACAAACATATCTGTGAAAGGTTTGGTGTAGCTCGAATAATAGATAAGATTAGAAAGAGTCATCTTAGATGGTTTGATCATATTAAACATCGATCATCTGATGATCCAATTAGGAAAGTAGATATTTTAGATTTGGCTTATTTTAAAAAAGGTAGAGGTAGACCTAAAAAGTCTTGGGCATGTTTTGTAGAAATGATCTTATTTTATTAGAATTAAATGAGAATATGACACCTAATAGGAAATAATCGAAAAAAAGGATTTATGTTGCCGACTAGTGGGATACAAAATTGTTGTTGTTGTTGTTGTTGTTAATTGCTTATTATTCCTACCTGTGTTGTATGATTTCACATTTTACTCGCTACACTTTATAGGCATAAAGGCTAATAATGAAATCAGCTCACTAAAAGAATTTTGAGCTATGCTCATATTTCTTAATTAGTGTGATCAAAGATTACATCATAGGCACATTTTAATACAGAAATGTGAGTAAAAGTACCCATTTTTATAATTTTTAATGGCATTTTTTTAGTGATTTGATTATGTATAGTATAGCTAGATGTGCGTGACTGTTGTAGCTGAAGAAATTGTCAGAGTAATAATTATTTTTAAAATTGACTCAAGATAATCTTTGGTGGCTTTTTCAGAAGTATGTATGATTATATAGCTCAAATCTGTGGCAGTGATGAACTTAGATTATTAAACAGAGAGGGCGTTTCGACGTTCTGTGATGTTCATCAACTTGCAGGTTTGAGAGACTTGTCTTTGTAGCAATGGTTGCATCTATAGCACTGCAGACTGCCGCAACTACATGTCCGCTTTTGGGTTGCATTTGGACCTTTTCCTTAAGACAAATATCAAAATGGAACAGAAACAGTTATAGATTGTCTCTTGTTGAAAGGAGCTGCTTGTTTTGGTTATGATTTTCATTTGGAAATCTTTTTTTCCAATTTAATGATTAAAATGCCTTTATTTAAGGGTTAATGGATGAAAAAGATTAAATGAGGGAGCTATTGTATATTTTGCTAAACCTCAAGGCGTTGTATGACATGGGACTAATCTTCAAGGGAGGATAGTTAACCACTTATTTAACTTATTCGATGAGCTATAACCTTTTCACTGCATAAAACAAGGCTAGTAATTCACGGTGTAATCATTGCTTAAGATCTACTTTCAATACATAAACATAATTCTTCCTAGGCTTAAACTAGTTTTGATGATCATCCCCTACCATTGCATGTCGCCTTGGCTGGGCATTAAAGTATTAATATTAATGAGATGTCTGCACATTAGAAAAATTGTGAATTTTGTTTTTTCTTTCTCAAACAGGTGAAAAATCCTTTTGAAGAAAATGAAGTTGTGGGAATCACAAACTACATTGACTTTGGTTTCGAGTTAACGACGAGGTATAACTCATGTTAAAGGATGATTATTCTTCGTTTTGTCTTTGCTCTCTCAATTCCTTCTCCACCAATTTACTTCAAAATTTTAAGGATTGATGGACAAAAACCAGCTGGGAGTGTGGACGAGTCATCATTCCAAATAGCTGCAGCTTGGCAAGCCAACAAGAATTTTTTGCTGAAGGTTAAATTTATTAAATTCTTTGTTCAACAAATCATCTATGTTTATCTAGAGTTATAATTTATTCCATGCCTGGGAAAGACAGGCCCATTGAGCTCTGCTTTTTGCTTGGCATTTAAATCTTGGTGGAAACCTTCATTTACATTTAGCATAACAGGTGTGTTTAGATTGCTTTCATTAGTATTGGCACACTTTAGCCTTATATGAATTTAAACAGAAATTAATCTTCTCTTGAATAAATATCACTGTTCTTCAGTTGTTGTCCATCTAATAGAGGTTATTGTTTCTGGAAAATTTAGCTGCATTCATTATTTTTTGGAGAATTTATGTGTGTAGCACCCAAATTTCTCTATAAAATTCTATATATTTATGTATCATACACTCGAGCCATTAACAAAATAACAGAATTCTCACTCTTCGGCTGAGTGATGATATTATAAATAGAAATATTTGGGTTTTAGTTTCATTAATGATGAAGATTTGAAATTTACATATATACTTAAAAAAATTAAATTCATTTCTCGTTTCGTTTCGAATAACCAAATTTTTTTTAAGTATGACACTAAATTGGACGCAATGGAGAAAAAGGATTCATGTAGCCGACCCCACGTAGTGGGATTAAGGCTTTGTTGTTGTTGTTACATATTCTCCATTTCAGCTTGATGATCTGCTCTGTTCATCTGCAATTTGACTACATTATTTACATAGTTTGTCCTGATGGTTTTGTTTCTATTTGTAGCTATTATTAATCACCTTAGTGGGATGGCGTCTTACGGGTTTGGCATCCGGGTTGAGAATATTAGAGAACCCAGGTATTTTACAGTGCAGACCTTTATTAATTAACCATAAATTATCAAAATTTCATTTCATTTTCTTCAATCCAAACAAAACCTTTCTGAGGGAATTCTATAAACTCCTAAAATCACGATTTTTTTTGTGGTTAAAATGTATATGAAAGATGAAGAATGTCTTTCAGAATTGAAACAAGTCATTTCTTGTTTGCATGGCTCATCATTTTGATGCACCACTAGCTGACAATTTTTTTCTTAGAAAACTTCTCTCAACTTTCAGGGAAAACTCAATAACAGTTAAATATCTAGAACTGGTTTTTAATCATATAATTAGGAAAGAAATTTCATTTTTTTTGCAGCTATTAATAGTTACTTTTCCAACATTTTTATTTATGATGAAAATGCAGCTATGAAAGAGCTGATCCAAATTATGTGATGCTTACGCCAAATAAAGAGCATTTAGCCGAAGGCGTTCTTCGGGATTTCGGGAGTCGCCCGATGTTCCAGTCTGAGATAAACTCTGAAAATTACGATCGATTACCAAGAGAACTGAGGCCAATTGGGAAGATCTTCTAAACATGGAACCCAGATTCAAGCCAAATATGGGACTTCACATGCTCTTAAGAGTATAATAACTACAATTTTTTATTTCTTAATTGGAAATGTTGATCAAATGAGCTTTTTTTCATACATCAAAAATTGTGGGTGCAAATTCATCAGTATGATCTACTAAAGGGCTTTTTTTTTTTATGAATGAACATGATTATGACTTGTTTTAGCATTCTTGTTGTCTTATTCTTTCTATCATGTTTCCTTGTCTCAAAATGCTTTTATTTCAATGAGTCTTTTTGGGGTAAAACAATAAAGTTTGAATTATTCTGAAAGATTGGGCTTGGTGTAAGCTATTGAAATGTTTGGTTTTTTTTTTTTGTTTGTTTTTGTTTTCATGACTTGTATGTATTGGTTAACAAATATTCAGTGAACACAATTAATGAAAGCAGGAAATTGTTTCATTCAATTTAGTTACATATTGGATTAAATTAATTTTTAGTACCATCCATAATCTGTAAGTTATGAAAATAAATCATGTATACTTCCTGCCTCTTTACGCAGTGCTTTTCTTGTTGTAATGTCAAAAAAAATGTTGAATTTTTGTTGATTTATTGGTGTGAAAATAGAAAAACATTACATCAGGACTCCGAGCCCCCCCCCCCAGCGTAGGGTTCGGGGGGGAGTCCAATGAAATCACGCCACACACGTGAAGGTGAGAAAAAAAAAAATCTGTCTGGCAACACTCGGGAATATTCCTATCTTGCTATTCAGGTGTTATCGTGTGTTATTCAAGTGTTATTGATGTGTTATTGTGTTATTATAACATCAGGAATATTCTCAGAACACAATAACACATGAATAACATACAATAACACCTGAATAACACGGGGGGAATATTCTCCTATGTTACCTGTGTTACCGAGAATATTCTCCTGTGGCGTGATTTCATTAGACTCCGCAGGTAACTCTACGTGCAGAGTCCTGATCTAATATTTTTTCATGAAAATATAGTTCCAACACTAATCTAATTCCGGCTCTTTCATTGTGTTTCAGCTGAGGTTAACTTATAAAATAATAATTATATATCTATATATATTATTTTGATTAAAAATAGAAACCGTTATTAGTGATTAAAAATGAATATTTTTTTTAATTAATTCCAATCGAATAATAAAAATTATTTAATTTTTATTTGGGGCATTCATACATACCACTATACCACCCAATTCCTATGTATTTACATGTCTGGCGCCTAAATTTTGCATTTTTTTTTAAATTCATAATACCAAAATTTATGAGATCACAACAAAAGGCCTCTATAATTTTTAAGAAGGCAATGTGGTATTGTCGGTAGAAGTTGAAATTTAGTTGTTCCATATGTAAATAGATAGATTTGAGTGATTTATATGTAAATCATTCTTTTCACAATAGACATGGGAATGACACAGGCTTACTAGTAGAATAATAGGACATGGACACATATCAAGCACATTATAATAAAAATTCTACATATAAATATATATACTAAGACATAAAGGTATTAAAATTAATAAAAGCAAAATAAAAAATTTAATGGCATTATCTTCCAAAAACTAAGATGTTCATAATAAGAAATATTAGTCCAAGCGAGCGATCAAGCTCATTTATGAAAGAAGAAACTAACGATAAGTTGAACATATATGATTAATATTTAAATAAAAATATAAATTTTTTAATTTTATATAAAACAATATGCAATAGATGTTTAAATTTTTTTTTTAATTTTTGAATTCACAAATTTAAGACAGGTATGTCTGACGTGTGTCCCTTTTTATTTTTATATTAATTGGATCTGACACGTCATAGACGTGTCCGGGATGTGTCGGATGAGTGTTGGTATCCGAGAAGTGTCTGGAATTACATGACTTCTTAATTAGAAGTATCGGTGCATCATAATTTACCATATGGGGTATCTTTCTTTGGCTTCATCTATAAAAGGTCGTGAGTTAATCGCCTCTATATCCCAAAGTTTTTTGACATATTTCCCTCCCAAAAAATGTGCAATTTTTTTATTTAATTTATTCATTAAACACAAAATTTATGCTGAGTTCAAAGCAAACGATAATTACAAGAATTTCAGCTCATGAAAAAGGCTGAGAAAATCCTTTAAAAGAGAGTGAAAGTTGAGCTCCACAAGATCTACATGCACTCAAGTGAAAGAAGGCCAAGACAGTTGGGAGGATACTGTGAAGCCCAAGGATTCCTACATTGACTTGGCTAGGTGTAGTTTCAGTTTGATTTTATTTTGATTTGAGACTTGGATTAGTTATAATATGACTTGCTGAAAATTTGAGTTCTTTTTAAATAAAATATTAACAAAAATCAAATGGGTTTAGCAAATAAGAGTTCTTTTTAAATAAAATATTAACAAAAATCAAATTGGTTTAGCAAATAAGTAATAACCTATTGTATTCCCCAACAACTTATCTCATTAATCCATCTATACATCATGACCATTCATTATTTATGTTTATGTTTTGATATTCAATATAACATTAGAATATTTAATAAATAGAAAGTAATGATCTCCTATTAATTACTTAGATCTCAAGCACATGAGCATACATTTTTTTTTTATCATAATTGAAAATTAAATCAAAACCTATTAGCTAGGTTTGGTTCAATTTGGCTTAAAATGTGGATTTATTTAATACCCAAATGACCCAATTCAAAATGACTAATACACTTTGGTAGACAACATCAAACCAAATTATTTCTCAAGAAGTACCACAATGAAATCTAAATTTAGACCATTATGGTCAATACAAACAGATATTTTGATCATATGAAACATATTGAAGATGATGATAATTCGATCATATGAAATTGATTCCATTTAAATTAAGAAAATATCACTTCAACTAAATTATTAGATTGTTTTATGTCATTAGTAAAATAGAATTCTTTGAAGACAATAAATCATGCTAAGGGATCATCATGAAATATCAAAAGATGCAAGGGGCTATAATGAAATTTTTTTAAAATTATGCCTCGACATGAAGTATATGAAATATCAAAAGATGCAAGGGGCTATAATGAAAATTTTTAAAATTATGGCTCATGAAATACAGCTAAAATTAAAGAGACATAATGATATTGAACTGATTTTGTAATAATTTAAATTAACTAATAATTTACTACTCTTATCAATTCACATTTAAAATATTTTTTTTTATTTGATGTCAAAGTTAATACAACATAAAGTACGTTATTTTTTTGATAACCCACATAAAACAATGATATTAAATTCACCGCTCTTTTATGTTTCTATTATACTATCATAAGTCAAGTTTAACATTTGATTGAAATTTAACATAATAATGTAAGAAAGAAAATCTATCAAGTGTGTGTGGCATCTAAAAAAAGAAATAAAAGAGTGGAATTGGCCAAGAAGTTAGCAAAGTATATTTGCTAAAATTCAATCAGTTGAAACAAACTAAGTCACATGAATTAAATGTGGTAGCATTGATTGAGCTGATTTGTGAGGGATTTCCTTGTGTCTAATGTATGGGCTAGTACTAAGGAATAAAATCATGTGCTGATAGTTAGAATATGGCCCCACTTGGAGAAGTTGGGATATATTACCATAATGTGTGAACTAACAAAGTGGTTCAAGGATAAATGTTGGGGGTTCGAGCTTATGAGCGTAAAAAAAGCTAAGTAAAAAACATGAACATTGTAAAATTCCTATTATTTTATGAGAATATAATATAAACATGTGCTGAATATAATTTTGTCACAAGTTCATTCAGATATTTTACAATAGAATTCATTTCTATCACATAATAGTTAGAAGTTCCTACATGTTATATTTCTTAATTCCAAAGACTACGTAATCATTAAAGCTTTCACAAATCTATTAGTATTTTATGATGATAAATGGAAATAGAATATGTCTTCATAACTACAATGTGTATGAAATAACAAACAACACACATCACGTCTCCGTCGGAAAATTGTAATGATTAGAATTCCATTGCAAATTACTAATCATAAAACATAATTAGTATAGTGCACCATGTACTAAAAGCTACCTCAAAACTAACATACTACACATAGACAAGCTATTACTCCCCATCTTTTTATGTGAAATAATCAAAGTTAACTTGAACCCTTTTGTAATTCTTCCAATAACAGTCATATTAGACTCACTTTTCCTATAGTAATTGTGCATATAATTGCCAAGAACATGCACTAATTTGAGCTTGCTCGTGAATCTATACAATTAATTATGTATTTATTATGTTATCAAGTTGCATTATACAAATGTAATCCATCTCAAATTATAATACATAAAATTTGAGAAATCATAAGGAGTATGTCCAATTTATTGTTTGCTTCATGAAAGAAGATACCATTTTGAGTTAACAACATTTGATTTTATGAGTTTAAGGTAATAAATATGTATCTTTTTTCCAAAACTTTATACATTATGTACTATAGTTGAGTTTTTTTCTTACTTTATTAACAACAAGATAATATCACAAGGAATATAAATAACATTGCTTAACATGTTAGGATTAATAATTCCAAAATTTTAAGGAGGGGCTTGAGACACCTAAAATATATAGACTTTTTATACACATTTTTATACCTATTTTTGAGATATTACGCTTTAATGAAAAATATTTGTGTCATTTTCCTACAGGTACAATCAAATAGATGAAAAATCATAAAAGGAGTGAAAAGGGATCAAATTTAGAGAAAAAATGAACAAGGTGCAAAAATGAAATAGGGTGCCTAAGCGCCTAGGACTAGCGCGTAAGAGCCAGTTATATAGAGAAAGTCGCGCCTGAGCGCCAGGTACCCCACGTTTAAGCATCAGAAGTAGTTATTTGATGATTCATTAAATTTAGATAAATTTTTGAAGAGGTGTTTGAAGCAACCCTTGGTAAAACGTGAGAAATAGCCCATGGACACGAAAATTCATTCAATTGGCTTTTGAAAGGAAGCAACTTCTACAAGGTTCATTGAATGGAGACACATTTTGAAGAGACACTAAGACACCCTTTGAATTTTTATAAAAGAATACTTAGATCATCAAGAGAGGGGATCCAACAACCATCATCCATCCAAGTAATCGATGCCGCCGATGCCGCCGCCGCCGCCACTGCTGACCACTTTTATTTTATTTTATGCTTTAGTTTATATTGTGAGTGAATGAAG